GAAGTGCCTGGTACACACTGGTGTTTGGCACATAATTGTAGTGTGAGATTGCACCTGACATGTTACTTGAACCCTAGACAATTTCTATCAGGTATGATTAGTTAGGCTAATAACATGATATATGACTATTACATAAGAGCACACTATAATATGTGTCTAAAGCCATAATGTCAACTAATACAATTCAACACCGTAGAATGTGATGAGTGCTTGCAGATTGATGAGTACTGTGGTGAGGAAGCATATAGAAGGTAGATCTGGGGGCAGGATGTTTAGGGATAGATTTGAGTAGGAAGCAACTCTTGACCATGACCTTGAAGGACAGGTAATGTTTACATGGCAAGATACAAGGAAAAGGAAAAGCATAATAAAAGGCATAAGGGAGAAGCGTTTGGGAAACCATTCATCAGTCTGACAGGAACATAGTTAAGAAAAGTGCAGGGAGGTAGTAGGAGGTAATTTAGAAGTGGAGAGTCAGATGTCCTATTAAGGAGCTCGGACTTTATCTTGTAGGCCCTAAAGACATTAGTGTAGGATTGGAATGAAATAAAGACTTAACCTTAGAAAAATACTGTGTGGATTGAAGTTTTCAGATGAAGAGTGGGCACATCAATTTGGAGGTGATGGAAATAGTTCGAGAGAGGTGTCACACAATTGAAAAATTCTTTTAGGACTTGCTTTTTGAAATCTCAATTGTTTATGTTTGTAAAGATTTTGTTTCAGAAATGACTGGTGGAGAAAGAAGTGTATTGAGAGTCAAAAGATAGGACTGTGTCACTCATGTGCTAGTAAAAAACTTCAAGCTTGGTGCTCTGTTTTCCTACCTGTAAAATGGGCATAACAACTACCAGAACATCCCTCAAAAGATTATACTAAGTGATAGAACTTTGAAAGGTAACATGCCTCATGTGTGTAAAATGCCATTTACTTGGAATATTTTTATAGTAAAATTATTTTCTTTGGACAAGATACAGATTCAGAAGAAAATCATTTTTCTATGAGATTAGGATTCAGATCATTAGAACTTATTCATAGTTAGTAAATAGATACTTTATATTGTGTACCTTTTTAACACCTCACTTCTCTCACAAAATGGATGAAATCATTGAACGAGGGGAAATGTGTGGTCGCTGCAGCTGCAGCATTTTATGATTCTATAGTTTTTGCCTTTAGCAACCTTCTCTTAGAATAGTGACTTAAGGCCGGTGCCTCACACCTGTAATCCCGGCACTTTGGGAGGCCAAGGTGGGCAAATTGCTTTTTCTTAGGAGTTCGAGACCAGTTTGGGCAACATGGTGAAACTCCATCTCTATAAAAATACAAAAATTAGTTGGTGATAGTGGGTGCACAGCCTTGAGAGGCCAAGGTAACAGGATGACTTGAGCCTCGGAGATACAGGCTGCAGTGAGCTGAGATGGTATCATTGCATTCCAGCCTGGGCAACAGAGGAAGACCTTGTGTGTGTATATATATATATATATATATATATATATATATATATATATATATATATATATAAAGGGACTTAGGATACTGACAGTATAAGCACACTCAAACCCATGTGCATCTGTGCTGGGAATAAAAGACAGACATGTTCTCATTCCACTGATTTAGGACTCTGGTTGGAAAGGAAAAGTGTAATGTCTCCTGCAATTGCCTAAAGTGCTTTACGTTTATGGGGCATGAAAAAGCTAAATTCTGTGATGTGTGGGTAGAGGAAAGGAGGACGAGTGTCCTTTCTGATTTCCTCTTTTTCCTTCTCTTCCAAGGGGAAACAAAAGGTTAAGGCAACAATTTAAGAAGGAAAGGCAGGGAGCTACTCGGGGTAGAGTTGGTAGGGAAAGGCCAAACCCAGTAAATAATTTGATTTCAGTTACAGTAAATCGCAAATGACAATGCTACACTCCTGAGAATGTTCCATGATGGAAATGTCTGGGCTTTGCATTTTGAGCAAAGCAATACCAGGAGAGGGTGACATTATAACATCCAGCAGGAAGAACACCGCTCATGTCAGTTTGATGGTACTATTCCGCCAGATCACTCAGTCTTCACAAATCAGGCAAATAGCTACCTCACATGTCATTTGTGAAGGGAAAGACTCCTAGGAAAATGTTTTCTAGGAAAGGGAAAAAAGCAGAAAGCAAAGGTCTCCTGCCTACTACAGCATTCATGTTACATAAGCAGAATTAATGTAATAGTGTATTAATCACTTAGAACAGTTCAAGTATTATTCCTATCTGGGCTCTGCAGGGCCCTTGCTTCACTTCTTTCTCACCATTTGGATTCTGTCCATTTTACTCCTCCCTCTGCACTTGGAATAGAAGTGAAATTTGTTGTGCCAATGTTCTACTTGTTAGAAGCTATGGTAATGTTCAGTAGGGGAAAAGATTTGTACTGCTACATAGAAGGAGATTTTGGGATTATTTAAGGCTTTGTTGATGGGATTCCTAGAATCCACTACCACTGGGTATACTAGACAAGTCTGTGGATTTACAAAAGTGTGGATAACATGGGCTGTACTTGATTTCTCTATCCAGCTTTTTGGTTCTAAATTTATTGCCAGTTTTATTTATCAAACCTATTCTCAGTGGAGTAGTATTTTCTCTGGTCACAAGGAAACATCTGTAAGCTTAAACCTTAGAGGCAGATAGCCAGTTAGAACATTTGGCATATGAAGCTTAGATAGCAGAAGAGAAAAATTAATCAAGGCAATCCTCAAAAATATTGAGAAGGCAACTAAGAAAAATTTCTTATCACTGACAGACTGCGGTATTGAATTCGTTTTAATTAAGAAATGTCAGAATACATAATGAATCAATGAGGAGTGTCATATTATGGCAAGTTTCAATGTTGATGTCAATCTTGACTGCCAGGATTTATGGTAGATTATATAATGGAATCCTGAGTTCTGAGAGATCAAAGGAAAATGCTGGCTCTTTCTTCATCCATTCTCTTAGGTCAAGCCTACCCAGCAAGAAGCCAAGTTGAGAACTGAGCAATTATCTGAAGTGGGCAGTGGAGACGGCCAAACCAGATAATATATAACCAGAAAGTCACCGTGGAGGGAAAATGTGGACTGAAAATAGGATAAGGGGTGGAGGTAGAATGTCAAGCCATTTGGTCAGTGTCCACAGTCCAAATTCACTGAACAACAGCCAATTCCTTACTTCATGTGGTTATTTAGAGCGAGACTAATAGACTAGAGTAAAAAAAAAAGAAAAGTTCATGACTAAGGTTGTTGCATGTTTGTGCAAAATTTCTTCAAATCTCTGTTATGATCTGTTACATGTCTAATTCTGAGTACTTCCAGGGATTGTATTTTGCTATTTTAGATTAGTGGGTTCAAGTGGTGGAGGAAGCCCATATAATCTGACTTGCATGGAGAAAACAAGTCCTTTTTATAGATTAGTTGAGTGTTATATTTAATTAGCCTTTCCCCCCTCCATAACGCATGGTTGTGAATTTTCCATTTAAAGTTCTGAGGCTCTGACCTTTATAATTTCCTCGTGGAGCAATTTCTGTATCTCCTTCAGTAGAACATAGCAATGAATTATGCAAGTTCCCAGAATAGAATTTGTGTTAATTTTGTTTTTTTAAAAACACAACTACCAAAGTCTCAGGACCAGTGTGGTATTTATTTCTTTGATTTGATATGGAAACCATAAACTACTTACTTCGAGCAGATGTTTCCCAGTCCTAAAATTTAGCTATCAGTCCACTGGCACCTTCAAATCTGTCAGGGTGCACCTGCTAATTCTGAAGCCTCCCTAATTCAATGTTAAACTTTCCATTTGTTTTTTTATTGAGAAAAAATTTGTAAATTAGGTTCAGTATTGCTTGGAATTAGGAAAAATAGACAGGCATGCCAATATTTCAGATGGAAAAACAAAATTAAGAATTTAACAAGTTTTTCCTCTTCATTCTATCATGTCTTGTATATTTAAAGCTGTTATACAACATTTTAAAAACAAACAAACAAACAAACAAACAAACAAAAACCCAGGGCATTTTTCCAAGTGCTTAGGCTGATGTTTGAAATCCACAGTAGAAAATGCCCTATGGAATTGTCTTTTAAAGCACCCCATGGGAGTCTATTGAAAAATCTTAAAGTAAAAATTCAGAAGAATTTTATATACAAGAATTAAGAACATTGTTTTATAAGCAATAGGGAAAAGCTGTATTAAGTAGTATTGCTCAATTTCTCACTTGCTCTGTGCAGTGACTGCTTTTTCGACCATATATCAATGTCTGAATCTTCATGGTAAAACCGTATCTACCACAGCCACGGCAGGTTTTGTTCTGCTGCCGTGTGATTTGAGACATTGTGGGCTGGGTTTTTTTGTTTTCAAAATTTATTTCTAATGTCAGCAAAGTGGATCTATAGAAATGGAAGTAATCTGTAATCCCAGCACTTTGGGAGGCCAAGGCGGGCAGATCACCTGAGGTCAGGAGTTCAAGACCAGCCTGGCCAAACATGGTGAAACCCATCTCTACTAAAAATACGAAAGATTAGCCAGGCATGGTGGCATGTTCCTATAGTTCCAGCTACTGGAGAGGCTGAGTTAGGAGAATTGCTTGAACCTGAGGGGCGGAGGTTGTGATGAGCTGAGATCAAGCCATTGAACTCCAGCCTGGGGGGGCAACAGTGAAACTATGTCTCAAAAAAAAAGGAAAAAAAAAAAAAGAGAAGAAATGGAAGTCATCCCATGGACCTGAATTGGTGTAGTGGATTATGGTCCATAAGTAAATGAAGAACTGCTTGTGGATGGCATCGATGACAACTAGCTTAAGCCCTACTCAGCTTTGTAAAAGAATGTAATCAAGGAATTTGATCTGAAGAGATAAGCCAAACATTGATTCTTCAGTGCCTATTGATAAGTGAGACTACTTTTCTTTTTAACAGCCTTATTTCACTTCAGTGGTGAATCAAACCAGCTTTAATTAAGGAAATCTGTAGAAATAAGCCATATCTCCCTTTCCTTCTCTGTTAAAAAAACAAAAGGAAGAAGAAAGACATAAGCGCAAAGATCTCTTCACATTCTCCAGGACGGCAGTGCCAAATATCAGCACGGATCTTCTTGAGAAAGGATGTAGACCTTAATCTGAATTTTGAACCATCACTGAGGTATGTGTGAACGTATTAGTTTCCTCTTTCTCTGTACCGACTTTGTCCATGAATTCATAAGATCTAATTTGGTCATCAGTTTGGAGAATGATTTTTCATTTAATTTCTTTGATTATCAAGTATGTATTGCCTGGGGCTCAGCAGTACACTTACGGTCTGATGGGCACTCTACATGTGTTGCTTTGGTTGAAATTAAGGATATAATCCATGAACTACCACCATTTAAAAAAATCCCCAACATCTACTGTGTGGGTGAGGTTTCTTTGCATATTATCAAAGAGGTTAACCAATTTATCTGCATGCTGAATAGTCCACTCTAAGTACGGAAAACCCAAGCTTTTTTCTTTTTCTTTTTTTTTTTTCTTTCTTAAAATAGAACTTTTATTTCATTCTTTTATCCTCAGAGCTTTACCATAGTTTCCAGGAAATAAAAACGTTTCTTGATTTGAATTTCACAACCTTTCTTCTCTTACCAGTTGTATGGTGCTAATAGGAAGCAAAATGTGAGTGAACTTTTAATTTAACCCTAAAATAGGAAAACATCTTCAGAATATAGACTATATATTCAGTTACCTACCTAAAAATAGAGACATAATTCTTACATTCTCAGTCATTAAGAAACATTTCTATTGAATTTAATTATTCAAAGCAACAGGTAGTAGTTTCATAAGGGAAAAGATAAGCCATACCACGTGTATTTGTGGTCACCAAATAATTACATTATTTTTATTTAAAATTAAGATAAAATAACTTACTGACCTTAAAGTCCATTTCTCATTTCCTCCATAAAACATTTTGAAACTAGTTCATAAACCTCTTGAAAACTCATGCCTATGTTACAATGAAAGTACAAATTGTCATTATTGCCTAGAAGCCAACTCCAGAGGCTATGTATCTATGTAGCGTTTTGCAAATCCAGTAGCAGGCATGTGATATAAAGATTAAATGCACCCCTGATTTGTGAATACTATCCCAACCTTCAAAACTGTCAAAAGCACAGAAAGTCTGGGCATTTTAAAGTAGAACCTGCCCAAATTGCAAGGGAGGGGTTGGGTGTAGGACATAGGTCTCTCTGCCAATCAGCCTGAGATGCCATTGGACTAAACCTGACTTCACTAAGGACCAGACTGGCAAATATTACTCAGCGTGGTAACTTCCTAATTGTAGAACCGGCCTGTTTGGTGAAGTATTTCAGGACAATTTTTAGCTGGACCATTTCTACCCTACTGCATAGGAAATGAAGGTTTCTAGGCAAAGACTTTATACTTAGTGACTAACTCAAAATGGTAAATAAAGTCACCAACTCCAGGCTTAGCTACTGTCCTCAAAAGTGCTGTGAGACTGGTCAGGCCAGTCTTCTGAGGCTGGAGGTGCATGTGGAACCCCCAGAGTCTTGACTGCTAGGGCATGGCTGACTGCAGGCTGTTTAGAAGCACCCCGCCCTGCAAAACTCCCCTGGCTTAGGAATTTTAAACAGTTTTGGTTCTAATCTGTCTGCTGAGACTCTGAATAGCTGTGAATGAGCTGTCCTGTGAATCACAGAAATGTTAATGGGTGAGCTGCTCTAGCTTCTTACTTTTAATTTTTGAGACGGAGTCTTGCTCTGTTGGCCAGGCTATAATGCAGTGGCCTGATCTTGGCTCACGGCATCCTCTGCCACCCAGGTTCAAGCGATTCCTCTGCCTCAGCCCCCTATCTGGGACTGCAGGTGCGCGCCACCATGCCTGGCTAATTGTTTTTTTTTTTTTTAAATTTTAAATTTCAGTAGAGACGGGGTTTCATCATGTTGGCCAGGATGATCTTGATCTCCTAAACTCGTGATCCGCCCACATTGACCTCCCGAAGTGTTGGGCTTACAGGCTGAGCCACTGCGCCCTGCCCTAGCTTCTTACTTTTAAGTAGAAAGTGCCTGTAGCTCTTTGCTAGCTTGATGCAGAGAGTTTGATTCTTCTTTTGGGCAGCAGGGAGAGATAATGAAGAAATAGGGGGAAAAATAGGTTTTAACACATCAGTGAGTCTTCTATCTAGCTGAGGCTGAGCAAAGTCGGAGAATCAATGCAAGTCGCTTCACTACGGTTTGGATCTCATACCATTTTCAACATACACCTCCTTTTCTCTCTTTTTGTTTCTACACCCGTCAGCCCCTGAGTAGTCCTGCATTGCTTTCCCCACTTTGAAATTTTAGATCCAAAATTGATGATTCCAGAAAGGTCTAAGTTGCTGCTGCTGAGATTTCGAAAGAGAGCTGAGGCTGGGCATGGTGGCTCAAGCCTGTAATCCCAGCACTTTGGGAGGCCGAGGAGGGTGGATCACGAGGTCATGAGATCGAGACCATCCTGGTCAACATGGTGAAACCCCGTCTCTACTAAAAAAAAATAAAAAAAATTACCTGGGCATGGTGGTACAGGCCTGTAATCCCAGCTACTCAGGAGGCTGAGGCAGGAGAATTGCTTGAACCCAGGAGGCAGAGGTTGCGGTGAGCCGAGATCGCGCCATTGCACTCCAGCCTGGGTAACAAGAGCGAGACTCTGTCTCAAACAGAAACAAACAAACAAACAAACAAACAAACAAAAAAACAAAAGAAAGAGAGCTGAAACAAACTGTTGGGATTCTAGATGCCATTGAGCATCTACCTGAGTAACTGTTCGGTTGGGTCACCAGAAGAATTCTCCTCCATTTTTGCTGCCCTTCCAATTTATAAACAACACAGAAGATCAGTGGTTCTCCTGTAATCAAATATATTTGGCTATATTAATATTAAATTTTGGTCTTGAGTAGAAAGATTCTAAGGGCTAAAAAATAAACGATGTAAAATGTCTGTTAATGGCTTAGTGTAGAAGCCCCACGTGGGATTGCCCCTATTTCCTCTTTCATTTTTTTAAGATCCAACACTCAAGTTACAAAAGTTGATTCTTTTGTTTTGGAGACTGAGTCTTGCTCTGTCACCAAGGCTGGAGTGCAGTGGCGCGATCTTGGCTCACTGCAACCTCTGCTTCCTGGGTTTAAGGGATTCTCCTGCCTCAGCCTCCCGAGTAGCTGGGATTAAAGGGACACACCACCACTCCCAGCTAACTTTTGCGTTTTTAGTAGAGGCAGGATTTCTCCATGTTGACCAGGCTGATCTCGAACTCCTGACCTCAGGTGATCCACTCACCTTGGCCCCCCAAAGAGTTGCGTGAGCCACCGAGCCTGGCCACAAAAGTCAATTCTTAAAACGTAAAATTTTCATTTCTTTTTTGGTCTACTTTAGCCATGTCTGGAGTCAGTGAGCTCAGTCAAGTAGTTTGTAGAATGACAGTTGTGATACCTATTCATTTACCCATCAGATTATTTTCTGCTTGCTATGGCACTTTATAGAAAACAGTTTATTTGGTCATTACAACAGCTCTAGGAGTGAGTTTCATTATGCCCACTTTCTAGGAAAGCAAACTAAGGCTTTGAGAAATCAAGTAATTTGCTAAACACTACCCAACTGGTAACGATATGACAGGACTTGAATTTAGGATGATAACTTGAGATCTTGAACCCTGTAAATGTGGGTTTCCACAGGCAGAGGGCTTAGATATTGAAGCAAATACAGAAGCAGTATAAAAAGGAAAGATTTCCCATAGGGAGCTTGTCATCCACTGAATGAGAAGCTCAGACTTCCACTGTGAAATGATATTTGTATCCCCATTGTGTGCAGCAGATGGGAACTCTCATCATTGTAAGAGCACATTTTTCTGCGTATAAATGACACTTAATAGAGCTGACAGATTATATATATCTGGAACACTTTTACTTAGCAGAAAGGCAAAAGGCTAAGATTAGCTGTCCAGTAATTTTATTTGTCAAGCCCAATTCCCATGCTAACTTCTCTTCTACTAGTGAAAATGTGTCATCAGATTTGGTCCCAAGATGGAAAGGTAAAAGGATCCTTTCACCAGTAAACAATACCCATGCCATGAGTTTTGCAAGGATAATCCCCCCCCCAAAAAAAATAGGTAAATCACACATGAATAACCATGAACTGACTACAATAGAGCAATATGTGTTCATTTCCACTAATGAATAAGCTGCCATGATGTCTTTTCATTCTCTGTTTGGGACAAATTACTTCTCTGCTGTATTTTCATTCTTACACGAACCTATCTGCTGTGATTTTTCCCAGTTTTGACTTTATCTTGTTGCTTTAATCTTGTCTCTAAGTAAATTATAGCCCCAACAAATATATTCCAGTATTGTTTTTTTTTTTTTTTGAGACGGAGTTTCGCCCTTGTTACCCAGGCTGGAGTGCAATGGCACGATCTCGGCTCACCGCAACCTCCGCCTCCTGGGTTCAAGCAATTCTCCTACCTCAGCCTCCTGAGTAGCTGGGATTACAGGCACGTGCCACCATGCCCAGCTAATTTTTTGTATCTTTAGTAGAGACGGGGTTTCACCATGTTGACCAGGATGGTCTCGATCTCTCGACCTTGTGATCCACCCGCCTCGGCCTCCCAAAGTGCTGGGATTACAGGCTTGAGCCACCGTGCCCGGCCCTTCCAGTATTGTTTATTGTAATTCCTGCCTTTATGTCAGGTGGCAAGAGGAAGGGACTTGTTTTATTAATTCATCAGTCTGGGTGCGTGCTAAGGAATCTTAGTACACACTTCGATGATGGTAGATTGAGTCTAAAAGCTAGTTGATTCCATTTATTTTGGTATGCCTACATAACAAGGCCACACAGCAGTGCCATATTGTTGACCTGACATATGAAATCAAATAAGATGTACCAGAATTTTCTGTACAGTCTGAAGCTGTATGTGTACACTGACGAATGAAAAATCTTAGTTATTTGGACTTTCGGGTTCCATGATGCCAGAGAAAGCCAGACACCAGGAGCTTGAATCAGCTAAGACCTAAGACCCTGAGTATACATTTAGATGTTTACATTTTCTTCCTATTGCAACATTCAGCCATTGCTTTGGTACCTATTTAAATAATATATTACTGCTCATCAAAGTGGAAATAAATGTTTT